GCTTACTCAGCACAACAAGTAACACCTTTCATTCCAGGAATGAATATAGGAGGAGGAGATCAAGTACTAGAAACATTGATCAAACAATTGGCTGGGTTGATGCAAGGGAATAAAAATTCCCAACAAGACCAAAGACCAAGAATACAAAATAATGGAAATCGTCCACCGATCAAATGTTTCCACTGTAATCAACCTGGACATGTTAAATGGAACTGTCCACAACTCCAGAATAATAATAATAACAACAACAACAATAACAACAATACTAATAAACCATATATTTATGGTGGTCAAAGCTTACCAGATCTAGAAGATGGTCATAATGCAAATTGGTTATGGGATGTTTATGAAGAACAGGGTTTTGTGACTGCTCATTCTGATGGTTCTTGTGGTGGTTTTGTCGAACCATTGGATTGGGACATGGGAGATATGACTCATTGGTATATTGAAGAGAAATTGAGGGATGGGTATAAGAGAATTCAACCTGGTTACCATCAATTCCCAACTGATTCAATATGTGACAATTTCAATCTAATAAGAGAAACTGATGAAAAAACTCGATTCAATGAATCTTGTGTATTCTTAAATGGAACAAGTGAAATGACTTGGATGCAAGGTTATACCTTTGGCTCTGGTCCTTATTGTATGGGGCATAAAACTATTTCACAACATACACTTGATTGGGTTGAAGAATTCTTAAATGTTTACAAAGGTAAAAAACGTTATGTATCAGCAACATTTCTAGACACTCATATTGATGGGCAATACCATACAGAATTTGGTAGTAATATTAGATCATTAATTGAGAAAATGATTGTTGGCAACAAACAAACTGGTGAAGGTCCACTACTCTCAAAAAATAGGTAATGCTGAATTTTTTTTGAAAAAAATTAATATTAATTCTATCTCTCTCTCTCTCTCTATATATCTTTTCTAACTTACAAATCTCTTCACTTACTCAAAAAAAATCACTAAATAGCGCAATAATTATTCATAGTGATCATGGACTCCATTATAGTTCAGAGTATACATTTTTCGAAGGATATTTACATCATAAACAACCTACAATGATGATGTTATTACCAAACCAACTGCTTGATTCACATCCCAATTTTGGTTATTCTCTCAAAGAAAATCAATATCGCCTTTCAACTCATATGGATTTACATCAAACATTATTACATTTAGCATATGGAGGTGGTGGTGAAAAATATATGCCAAGGGATTTGAAATCCACAACTTTAGCTGATTATTTAGAATATAACAAATATATAAATAAATTTTTATCAAGCTCCACTTTCAGGAAAATAACAAATAATCCTGATGCTCATGATGTTAAGACCAAAGCACAAATTTATGGTCAGTCATTCCTCACCCCAATGTATAAATTGCGCACTTGTGATACATTGAATATACCACGTGAGTTTTGTCCATGCATGGAATTTCAGCAAATTGATTATCAGAATGTGGATCAAAAGAAATTAGTTGATATGGCAATGTTCAAGGCAACAATTTACATCAATGAATTCCTAAAGAGCAATCAGTATGACAGTGTGTGTCAGTTGTTTAATTATGAAAGTGACAATAACTCAAATAACACAATGAAATTTGATAGTGGATTTTATAATCCACATACATGGGCAGAATATGAGTTATATCGAATAACTGTCTCCATCAAAAATTTCAAAGCATTATTATCCATTCAAACCACAAAAAATATTTTATTATGGTCAGCACCTGATAGTACTTCGCAGATTGAAATTGCCCAAGAAACAAGATTTGCTGATGAATGGGAAAAATGTCGACCTAGACTAAGAGAAAAATTGAATCAATCTGCTGATAAAGTTGAGAATGAAATAGAAAAAATTGCAAGACAATTTTGTTTTTGTTCAAACGATTTTAACTTATAGTTATGAGTCAGAGAAATGCCAATCAATTTATTATATTAAATGATTGACAAAAAAATCCAAAAATAATATGTATATAGTAGTAATATTAATTTTTGAAAAAAAATAGATAATAATTTAATTTTTTATAATATGATTTTTTATCATAAACCAAAATAATAGAGTTCATGAATCAATTTTTATTGATATGCATTTTGAATTTAAATTCTAATTATATATTACAAAATTTTATGCGAGTAAAATTGTAAAAAGCTCTCTATTAGTTTAAAGAGCATCAAAAAGTGAATCTAAAACATAAATTTTTATTTGAATATATCACATAGTTTAAGTGCTATTTTGAGTTTTGTAATTTGGCGAAGTTTGCCAATTTTGTAAAATAAATTTAAGTTTTGTGTGTCACCAAAAAATAATAATAAATCCGCAAACCCCGTAAAAAATCCTTATTAATGAAAATTTGTGATCAACAAGGCTTTTCCTATAATTCTTTTTTTTTTGTCGTTGAAGATTATGTATAAGTTTAGTTGGTATTTTAGTAAAGTTAATTGACATCCTTCAATTGGTTTAGTAGAAGAGTGCGTTTCAATGGAAGATTTGTGTCGCATATCTTCTTCTGACTAAGATATAACCGGCCATTGGTATATTCAAGCAATGTTGTCAAATTACGTGGTCATTTGCCAATATTGTATTGTTTTCAGCAAGCTATTAAAAATAATGACCATTAATTTGCACATTATTTTTTCGATGAATGATCTGTGCCATTATTATTATTTCATGATGGTAATTTAATCTTTTTGTAAAATATTGTAATGTGTGACGCAGTCTATATTAATATGAACAAACTGCTTAAAAATTTTAAATTTATATTTAAATTAATAAAAAAAAAACATAAAGAAAAATTAAATTAATTAAAAAAAAAAAATAAGAAAATATTATCATTATATTGCCATAAATTAAAATAATAGTTTTGATAATTGTTCATAATTAAAATCTTAAAATTAAAGCATAGTTAAAATAATCATATTAAAATAATTATTTCATTGGTTTAACGATTAGAGAAATTTGTTTGTTTACGAATTTAAACGATTGCCAAAAAATTAATTGATTTTCAACCTTCGAGTTGGATATTTAATCGAGTTCAAGTTTGTCTGCTAAAATAATAAATTTGTCTGTGTATTCAATACTGGAATTTCGCCATGAATTAGCAAAAACTTTTGCCAACTCCGCATTAGTAATGTTAAAATTGGGAATTTGCCATATTTTGTCTAACAATGCAAAATAGAACAATGCTTGCGGAGCTGGTAAATTTGTACTTGTGTTGTTTTCAAGAATTATTTGCACATATTCAAGATCAGGCACATAGATTGTAATAACCTGTCCATTAGTCAAATTAGCAGTGGTGGAAATGTTATCACGGTCGTCGCCATCATCAGGAGTAATTTGAATTTCAGGGGCAGTCATAGAAGTATTGGTTTGAAGAGGTGATTGTAATAATTGAGGTTGTTGTAATGTTTGTGATGGTGAATCAAGGCAACAATTATTATCGCTAATCAGAGAAGGGATTTTGTTATTAAATGTTGTAGATGGAGAATGCATGTGAGGAAGAGAAAGAAGAGGCGAATTATCCAACAATAATTGATTGTAATTAGTGTTTCTATTGCTATTAAAATTTTCTAAATTATCATCATTTTGTTTTCGAGAATTGAAAAGTTCATACGGTGAACATGTTGGTTCAGAAAATTCAACGTACTAAATAAATAATATTATATTTGGAAAGTCAATAAATGAAAATGAAAACATTAATTAGATGGAACCAAATATGTGCATTATTACTTTTGCGTCAAAGTAATATGGATGAAAGTTACTAGGGATCCTTTGATGGGATTGTTCTAGTTGTGATTTATTATTTAAAAAGTGTTCATTATTATTAATACTATTATCATTGACATTGCCATTACAATTGGTGCTTGTATTAATAAATTTATTCTCATCATAGATCAAAGGTTGAGAAAGTGAATAAGAAGTGTATTGACAGTTATTATTTGATTTGGTATAAGCTGTGCACAATGGTATTAATTTATCACATTCAACCTTTTTGCTTTTACAGTACATGCAAGATACACTCGGATAACCCAAAGCTGCTGCCACTGAAGATTGTGGTGGTGGCATATTAAAAGTAATAATTTTTGAGATAAAAAAAAAGAGAGCCTGTGAAAAAAAATTTGTCTAAAAGCCTGAGAAATAACGATCATTACCAAATAAATTTTAATAATTCGCATGCATTCTAAAAGATTTATTGTTGGTTTTTGATAGGTAGCATGTTTGGGTAATTTATTCCGCAATTTGCCAGAAACGGAAATAATGCTGCAGATCGGGAAAGAAGAAAACCTTATATATTACAGTATTTTTTCCAAATTTGGAATTACTAATACTGTAATGATTAACATCCTAAATAGTAAACTTGCACTACGTAAAAATTTGATTGGCTGAAATTTCTCAAAACATAATATGAAAAAATTTTAATTGACGATCTGTGAATAAATGAGAGAATTGTCAATCAATTTACTATTAAAAAATGAGGGAAATTTAATATTAATTTTGAAAAAAAAAAAATCTACAGGTGTTCATTACACCAAAATTTTTAGAATAAAAGAAAAACCATTGCAAGTTTCAAATATTTAAAATTTGATGTAAGTTTTAAATCTTTATACATGTTTTGAACTAACAAATTTTAACTTTGATATAAGTCAAATTTTTATACAAATTTTGAACTTATGCAAGTTTTGAATTTTGACACTTTGACACAAGTTTAATTTTGACACAAGTTTAAACATTGATACAAGTTTTGAACTTTGTTTGGATTTTTATATAAATAGTAAAATATTTGATTTACTTCAAAAAGCCTTTCATAAAATTATATTTAAAAAAAAAAAAATCTTAAATAATACTATTAATAAATTGTGATCTTAAAATGTCTAACTCAACTAATAATCCCAGATTGTAGTAAAAAAAGGACAGTTGGTACCATTAAAGGAATTTCTAATTATTTTACTTTCATATGGCCATCTGGTGACAAAGATAGATATATAGCAGCGTATGAAATACCTAATTTTGGGAAATCAAAAAATATTCATTTTTTGATATTAAAAAACTTCTGAAAAATAATAATATTAATCAACCAAACATTACAGTCATTAATCAAACAACCCCTCAATCAGAATGGAAAATATTTTTTCCTTCAGAAGTTAACCCATCAATTCAAAAATTGTCTGTTCCTGAAGTAAGGTTGAAGCTTCAAGAGAAAAATTTGGATTTCACTGGAAATAAACTATACAGTTATCCTGTTTCAGACAATACAATAATTCTCTGTTGCTAAATAATATGAATTTGAAAAACCTCTTGGATGAAAAATTGGAACCTGGATTTGTTCTAAAGAGTATGGGAAGAAAGGTAGTAAGAGGCTTGATTTAAATGCGATTGAAATTAAAAATCATGTTTTTGGCTGGTAATATAGAAAAAATACTCTCCTGAGGATATGTTAAAAGAACTTCAAAGACTTGTTGAAACTGATGAATTAGAAGCTGAAATAATCCTTCTCATCAACATCACAAAAGACAGGTGGTTGAAAATACATCATCTAATTAATAAGTAAAAAAATTTTTTTTTTATTTGTTCTTATTTTTGAAGACAATAAATCATATGTTTTTAATAAATAAATACTACCATTACACAGAACATGTAAAAATTTTTATATGAAAATTCTTAAAAATCTACAGGTGCTAAAGAGTAAGCTTTTTTTTTTACTTAAGTAAAGACAAAAAAAAAACTGATAATATGTTCTTTGGGATTTGTTTTGTTTGTGGATGTAAAAAAAAATCATGTGGTGGAACAAAAACATAGTACAACTTTTCATGCAAAGGTACTCAATTAGTTATTTTTGTGTCAATTCTCCCTCGTTTTTTACTATGTACGACTCACTCATTTATTTGCGGATCATCAATTAATTATCTTCCCGTTCATTTGAAAATTCACGTGACAAAAGATCTCCAATATAAGATAAATTTTTATTTTGTTTCAATTCGTCTATTTTTGATATTAACTTTTTTGTGTGTAACTGGCCATTTTAGGGCCAAGAATAGTAAATTCGGTAAACTTTGTGCAACTTTGAAGCTCAAATCCTCCACAACAACATGACATATCAATGAAATGAAATCGTGATTTTGTAGAGGAAGGTCTTGGCTTCAAATATACGATTTATTTTTGGGGTGTTGCATTTCTATTTTTGGAGAATTTAAAAATCTACATGACCAATAAAAAGTTGTGGGACTAAGTGACTTGCACTGTATTAGTATCCCTTAAATGGTCAAAGGGTCAATATATCGACCCTTTACATATAAACCACCCCAAATTTAGTTCGGAGTGTATCACTTCCTAATATGAAAATGATCTTTAGGTCAAAATAATACGATCTATAAATAAAAATTCGGCTGCTATTAATATTGTTTTTGTAAAACCTTCTTTAAAAGTCAAAAAATGGTCATTCTTTCATGTAACAAATTTGCAGATCACCAAAGATTTGCCCGAAGTTTAAAAAATACTATCGCTTTCAAAAAAAATATATAAGGGAAGTAAGTTCTTTTGTTTTTTTTGAATTTTATTGAAATAAATCAACTATTCTTTAATTAAATTTTCAAATTAATATTTTTTTAAAAAAAAAGGAGTATTGAAAAAACTATTCATGATTTTGGAGAAATTGACAAGTATTCATGCAATATCATCAGGAAAATGTCTTTAACTATATTTAATGAAGAATATGAAACAAATGATGATGGTGATGATGAAATTTCACACATTAAAAGAAATATAACATTATTAATATCAAGTTCATTTAAAAACGTCAATTAAATTTTCATGCTATCCCTTAAATTGGCTATTGTACAAATTTGTACGATTAAATTTTTTTATATAAAAAAATTTTTCTGATCATCACGCTTTCTAATTAACAAATGATATTTGAGATTCTATACATTGATCTATATATAGAAATTCGGCCATTATTATTATGGGTTTTGTAAAACTGTAAAAAGTCTACAATGCCCGTGTCGATCATTACCTTAAAAATTGATATATTCATAATAAAATTTTTTATTGTGCGATTTGATTGGTGGAATTTTGTAATTTACCAATAAAATTTTTCGAAATTCCCTTATTCGAAAATGTGGACAGTTTAAGGGATACTAAATAGATGATCTGCGCCGTAAAAAAATTTATTGTGTGTAACAATAAAAATAGGGCATGTAGATCATTTATTATTTACCTTAAATGGACTGTAAATTATATTAACCAAATCATCGGGTGTGCTACTACATATTTCAGCTCCTAAAACGCCACTCAAGTCTCCTGACTTTTCATCAGACCCTTCCATAGTATTACAATCTCGATTTGAATTTTCTGCTGATGAGATGAATTCATTTTCTTCGTCTCTACAACAAATACACCTATCACCAGTTAAACAATTGCATGGGTTTAATAATGACTGGACTATAAAAGAAAAAATTTGTTCGAAAATATTTTTTTTTCTTAGTAAATTTACTAGTAAATCTAACTTAATTTGTTGAATCGATTATTATTAATCTCTCACCTTTTAGTTTATCACTACTACTCAAATTTGAAACGAAATTATCAAAATTTGTAGGTGATTCAGAAGAATCATTTGAACTTGTTATTATTACGGATGACTTGGATTGTGACAAGGAAGGAGTTACTAAAGATTTTAATGAATAATAACCAACAATTACTTATGATAAATATATAAATATACATATATGTAAAATAAACAAGCTAACCTTCTTTTTTTCTTTCGTTACAATTACATTTAATATGTATGTTTTGGGTTTTACGAAGCTCACGACAATTGTTGCATTGAGTGACGGGACGACCTTTTCTTTTGATTTCAAGTAATGGCCTATCGCGATGTTGACATGATGTTGACCTATGTCCTTTTATACAAGTTGCACTTTTAAGAAATAAGTGTGTTTGGGTAATTTATTCCGCAATTTGCCAGAAACGGAAATAATGCTGCAGATCGGGAAAGAAGAAAACCTTATATATTACAGTATTTTTTCCAAATTTGGAATTACTAATACTGTAATGATTAACATCCTAAATAGTAAACTTGCACTACGTAAAAATTTGATTGGCTGAAATTTCTCAAAACATAATATGAAAAAATTTTAATTGACGATCTGTGAATAAATGAGAGAATTGTCAATCAATTTACTATTAAAAAATGAGGGAAATTTAATATTAATTTTGAAAAAAAAAAAATCTACAGGTGTTCATTACACCAAAATTTTTAGAATAAAAGAAAAACCATTGCAAGTTTCAAATATTTAAAATTTGATGTAAGTTTTAAATCTTTATACATGTTTTGAACTAACAAATTTTAACTTTGATATAAGTCAAATTTTTATACAAATTTTGAACTTATGCAAGTTTTGAATTTTGACACTTTGACACAAGTTTAATTTTGACACAAGTTTAAACATTGATACAAGTTTTGAACTTTGTTTGGATTTTTATATAAATAGATAAAATATTTGATTTACTTCAAAAAGCCTTTCATAAAATTATATTTTAAAAAAAAAAATCTTAAATAATACTATTAATAAATTTTGATCTTAAAATGTCTAACTCAACTAATAATCCCAGATCATAGTAAAAAAGTGACAGTTGGTATCATTAAAGGAATTTCTAATTATTTTACTTTCATGTGGCCATCTGGTGACAAAGATAGATATATAGCAGCGTATGAAATACCTAATTTTGGGAAATCAAAAAATATTCAATTTTGATATTAAAAAACTTCTGAAAAATAATAATATTAATCAACCAAACATTACAGTCATTAATCAACAACTCCTCAATCAGAATGGAAAATATTTTTTCCTTCAGAAGTTGATCCATCAATTCAAAAATTGTCTGTTCCTGAAGTAAGGTTGAAACTTCAAGAGAAAAATTTGGATTTCACTGGAAATAAACTACACAGTTATCCTGTTTCAGACAATACAATAATTCTCTGCTAAATAATACGAATTTGAAAAACTTCTTGGATGAAAAATTGGAACCTGGATTTGTTCTAAAGAGTATGGGAAGAAAGGTAGTAAGAAGCTTGATTTAAATG